GAAAAAATCCACCGTTACAGGACGATGAAATGTTTCGCTGAACTGACAGTCGCTCAAATTGTAGTCGACGAAATATATGTCGCTGAAACATAGCTTTCGCTAAAATTGATAATCGCTATATTTGATAATCGATGAACTTGATAATCGCTGAATTGCCATTCGCTGAAAATGGTTCGCTCAAATGACGTTCGCTCAAATGACACTCGCTAAAGTCGCTCGCACCGGGTTTTGGGGGTGGTGATCACGAATTTCATGTTAGTTTTGATCAATGATGATCTTATTCATGCAAGATCGGGTCAGGCTAGGCCCGACGATTAGGTGTCCTGCCGTCTATCCATAATAGGCAGGTGTCAATCACTACTAATGGCTCCGTAACAGGTTACGTAAGCACCAAAACTTCTTATTAAAGGTTTTAACGGGTGTTAAATTCGAAATTATCTTCAAGCACTCATCTAGAAAAAATGCTTACTCGGAAAGGTTAAATAAGGTCATCTAAGCTAAATGACCTCGACCTAACCTTCAAATGACCTCAAAAATGCCAGGAACAAACAGCATTTCATATGTTGGAGCGTTAGCAACCACAACAAGCGCCGATAATGTGCGCTCACATGCGCCAAATCGATAGCAGCCTAACCTGGTCGGGAGAAACAGGTCATATGTCAAAACTTATGAAAGTCAAGGTCATGAACTTTTCAGTTCATGTACAAAATTGACTGACTCCAAGGTATAAAAAGTTTCGTCGCGTTCCACCACGTTTTGCTTGAGTAAGTTGCGAAAAACCGAGGGGGAGGATCTGTTCGACCCCCTCCCCTTCAAGTGCAAGGCTTCACAAGGTTAAGTCCGAAATGCCTTTTGATTATTGGGCTAAGCATGAGCAAATACCTATTTCTAAAAACAATGTAGCTTCATTCCACTTCTTGAACGCTTCCACGCCCACGATGCATTGCTAGCCGAAGACGACTTAGTGCTAAGTCTATGAGGAGGGGTGGGGGGAGGGATGGATGCAACAAAGGAGCCAACCATGTTGTCTGGGGTCAGTAACCATTAGCCCAACCATTTGACGGCGAAATAAAGCTAGTAAAAGTAGCGTAGGGTACGATATGAATTAAGTCGTGCTAGGATGGACAAAGTCCCCACAGTGCGGACACTGTCCGGCAGACGATCAGAGCTGGAACTCGCGCGGAGAGTTTGACTCTGAACAGCGCACTGGCGCGGGTCCGCGCAGTTCTACAGGGTGAGCGTGGCGTCACTACGGCGGCAGGGGCAGCCATGCGTGGAGGGCGAGAAGCTCGTGGTCCCCCGTGGCGTGGAGAACGGCGATTACGCCGGTGCTGGACCTGTGGGGCTACGGATCACATATCGCCACAATGTCCGGTAAGGAAGTCGGGAAACGACACCGGGAGCGCCGCATCAGCGCCGGCGTCGTCTCCCGACCAGTAGTGGGCGCCGGCGCTCTACCTGTGACTCGCCTCCTTGTCGATGGAGAGGAGCGAACAGTGCTGGTAGATACGGGAAGCATGGACAATATAATATATAGCGGTTGCTGCAGGGTTTATCGGAGGAGGAGAACGGTCGTTCGCACGTTGAGTGGCGACCCATTTACGTGCTGCGGAGTGTGCAGCATACACGTGCGGGTGCCACGTGCAGCAAGTGCTCAACTAGCGGCTTTGGTCGTCGATCGGCATCCGCTGGGACTGGACATGATTTTGGGAATGTCAGGAATAATGGCGCTAGGTGGCGTGTATGTGCTCACGCCCTCCGAGTTGCGGTTTTGCGGCACGACAGAGACGACTGTGCCAAGAGCAAGTATGTGTCTTGCAACGGAAAGTATCCCAGCGCCTCTAGTGGTCGACACGGCGGATTTTACGGCGCGATTCAATCCCAATGAGAAAATTTGGACTGTGTCATGGAAATGGAGGAATAGGAATGGCCCACAATGGCTGAAAAATGACGTCGCGGAGTATCATATTGCAGACGATATGCGCGACGAATTTACTACTGAGCTGAAGTCGTGGATCAAAGAAGGCTGGCTATTGCCTTACGATGAAAAGTCTCTTGGGCCTGCGCTGGGTCTCATTCCTCTCATGGCGGTGGAACAACAAAGCAAGGCAAAGATAAGACCCGTTTTCGATTACCGGGAACTGAACCTGCATGTTACCTCGCACACCGCCGATGCGGACGTCTGTGCAGAACAGCTTCGGAAGTGGCGACGGCACGGGAAACGTGTAGCGGTAGTCGACCTGAAGAAGGCCTATCTACAGCTACGGACGAAAAAGCGATTATGGCCGTACCAGACCGTCATTGTAGAGGGCAAGCGGTATGCCTTGACGCGCGTCGGATTTGGCTTGAACGTAGCTCCGATGATATAATGAAAGCGGTAGTCAGTGCCGTGCTCTCCCAGCGCCCAGAGATGGTTCAGGCTGTGCTCCCATATGTTGACGATTTGTGTGTCAACGAGGATATGGTAAGCGCGGATGACGTAGTAGCACACTTCGCGAACTTTGGGCTTGAGTGTAAGCCACCCCAACGTGCTACCGAGGGCGCCCGGTTTTTAGGCCTCAAAGTCAAAACCGTCAAAGACGAGCTCTGCTGGACGAGGGATAATGCCATCGGAGATCCTCCGTCAAAAATGACCCGCCGTTTCATATTTTCGTGGTGTGGCAGACTTGTGGGACATTTACCCGTCGGTGGGTGGCTACGTCCAGCGGCAGCTTGGTTAAAACGCTCCGTGAACGCCCTCACCCAGGGCTGGGACGACGAGACGAATGACGCAAGGCTTCGTGAGCACGTTGATGACGTAGCTCGGAGGTTGGCCAGCGATGACCCGGCCCGTGGGGCGTGGTGTGTGTCGGGTGACAGAGCCGTGGGATGGACAGACGCGAGCTCAATTGCTTATGGCATCGTTATAGAAACAGAAGATGGAGCTGTCATAGAAGACGCCTGCTGGCTGCGGCGCGAAGACACCGCACATATAAATATGGCTGAATTGGATGCGATGGTACGAGGAATCAACCTTGCTATAGTCTGGGGCATGAAAACTGTCCAGCTTAAAACTGATTCGGCCACGGTCCATCGCTGGGTAGAAGATGCGCTCACGGGTCGCGCCAGGCTCCGAACGAAGGCTCAGGGGGAGATGTTAATCCGCCGTCGGATTGACTTGATACGGCAGCTGCAAGAAGAAATGGGCATTTCCCTATCCATTCAGCTCGTTCATTCTGCAGAAAATCGAGCTGATGTTCTAACACGCGTTCCCTCGGACTGGCTTCGAGGTGGGGATGCCAAACAGGAAGAAATCATGCCCATGATAGGAAATGCCCCGAGTGTGGCACCTGTCACGGCTGTTGCAGCCACAGCGACTGAGCAAAATCTACTGTCGTCAATTGCCCGCACACATCAAGATGCCGGACACCCTGGGGTTCGACGAACATTATATTTTGCCCGCCGCGAGATTAACCGTTCAGTAACTCGTAAGATGGCGCAATTGGTTGTGAGGCGATGCCAAATCTGCCGATCAGTCGACCCAGCTCCAGTTAAGTGGCGGCATGGAAGCTTGGAAGTGTCAGAAACCTGGTGGCGATTGGCCATTGATATTACGCATTTCAAAGGTCAGTCGTACTTGACCGTAATTGACTGTGGGCCGTCTCGTTTCTGTCTATGGCGGCCACTGAGAAGAATGGACGCAGCCTGTGTCGTAGAACGACTGGCCGACATATTCTACGAGAGAGGTTCTCCAGTTGAGCTGTTGGCAGATAACGACACTGCGTTTAGAAGTCGGATATTTGCCGCTCTCGCGTCCCGATGGGGTCTCCGCCTCCGGTGGTTCCGCCGGCGGTGTACCGGCCCAGTGGCAATTCAATAGTTGAGAGAAATCATAGGGCTGTAAAAGTAATAGCCGCAAGGAAACAGTGCTCGATTGCAGAGGCTGTGCACCTGTACAATGCTACTCCGAAAGACGCCAGCTCTAGAACGAGTGCACCGGCGAGTGGCGTTTATCGGCATCCGGTGCGGGACTGCGTTCGGCACCCGGCAGGCAATGCGACATAAGAGATTCCTCCTGATCTGGCCCCTGTTCGACAAGAAGAAAATGCAGATGCTATCGCTAGATATTGTGTAGGGGACAATGTCTGGATGTTGAGTATCCATGACAGGTTGGATGATGATGTAAATAATAAACCGAATTATTACAAATGCATTCAAATATATTCAAATATATTCAAAAAGAGTAGCATTGTCTTTTTGAATATATTTGAATTCATTTGTAATAATTTGGTTTATTATTTACATCATCATCCAAAATGTCTGGATGAGGAAACCAGGAACCAGGTGCACCGAGAAATCCAAGCCTGGCGTGGTTACCAGAGTCGTATCTCCACAGGTCGTGGAAGTGGGCGGAACACCATGGCACGTCCGTGATCTGCGGCACCGTCAGGTCGTAGAAGAGACTGATGGCTCAGAAGACAGGCCATCAGAGACGACTGAGATGGACGTACCGCTGTACATCACCGCTCCGGCGCCATGGGCGACCATGCAGGTGACACCTGCTCCGAGGTCTCAGGGAGCAGCTGATGTGACCACGCCATACTTTTCCACCGATAACGATTTGACTAGCACATCCAATGATAGTTTTGTCTCGAGTGAGGTCACGTGCATCGAAGAGCCCACTCAGAATAGTGGTGCTGTTCGGCCAGACAGTTCTGACGGAGGCCCGATGTCTCCGCTCCTTCGCCGCCAACTCTTCGGCGTAGCACAAGGCTGAGGCAGCCACCCGACAGACTTACCTACCAATGACGATGCGATGATCTTGATGATCAGAGGGGGATATGCTGATGGTACAGTCGGCTTTTAATCACGCGCCTGTTTGAATTTTAGTGCTATGTATTTTAATTGAATATATTCAGTACGTTCTGGGCCTAAGTTGTTTTAAGTTCTCCTTTTCGTTTTGGGGTTTATTATTTCCGTCTCGCATGAGTTAAATTCAGTTCACACTCTCTCCCCCTCTCTTTCCCTCCCCCGGTCTCACCTGGGCAGCATACTCAACAGCTGCTGGTCCTGCCCCTCGCGCAGAGGCGCCGCCAGGTAGGTGATGTGGTCGAACACGCGCGGCAGAGGCGCCGGCAGCAGGTTGACCACGTGCGTGACGCGCAGCTCGCAGACTACATTGGGGTTGGTGGCCTGGTCGGCGCGGCCCACCAGCAGCTCGTCTTCGACCAGCGACGGGAACCACTGCAGGTACTTGGTGCGGAACGTGTTGATGGTGAGCACCTGCCGGCGGGAGCAGCGGGGAACCACTGCAGGAACCAGCCACAGGGAACGACAAGCAGCCAGCGGGGAACCACTGCAGAAGCCAACCACAGGGAACGACAAGCAGTCAGCGGGAACCACTGCAGGAACCAACCACAGGGAACGACAAGCAGTCAGCGGGGAACCACTGCAGGAACCAACCACAGGGAACGACAAGCAGTCAGCGGGGAACCACTGCAGGAACCAACCACAGGGAACGACAAGCAGCCAGCGGGAACCACTGCAGGAACCAACCACAGGGAACGACAAGCAGTCAGCGGGGAACCACTGCAGGAACCAACCACAGGGAACGACAAGCAGCCAGCGGGGAACCACTGCAGGAACCAACCACAGGGAACGACAAGCAGCCAGCGGGAACCACTGCAGGAACCAACCACAGGGAACGACAAGCAGCCAGCGGGGAACCACTGCAGGAACCAACCACAGGGAACGACAAGCAGCCAGCGGGAACCACTGCAGGAACCAACCACAGGGAACGACAAGCAGCCAGCGGGGAACCACTGCAGGAACCAGCCACAGGGAACGACAAGCAGTCAGCGGGGAACCACTGCAGGAACCAACCACAGGGAACGACAAGCAGCCAGCGGGAACCACTGCAGGAACCAACCACAGGGAACGACAAGCAGCCAGCGGGGAACCACTGCAGGAACCAACCACAGGGAACGACAAGCAGCCAGCGGGGAACCACTGCAGGAACCAGCCACAGGGAACAACAATCAGTCAGCGGGGAACCACTGCAGGAACCAACCACAGGGAACGGCAAGCAGCCAGCGGGAACCACTGCAGGAACCAACCACAGGGAACGACAAGCAGTCAGCGGGAACCACTGCAGGAACCAACCACAGGGAACGACAAGCAGCCAGCGGGAACCACTGCAGGAACCAACCACAGGGAACGACAAGCAGTCAGCGGGGAACCACTGCAGGAACCAGCCACAGGGAACGACAAGCAGCCAGCGGGGAACCACTGCAGGAACCAACCACAGGGAACCAGTGCACGATCCAGAGAAAAGTACTGCAGCAACAGCATACATTCAAAGGTGAGGGAAACACAGGGAACCACTGGGAACGGCTGCATGTTCATTGTGAGGCAGGGAACCATTACAGTCCAAGTGCAACAGGGCACTACACGAGATAGGTACTGGTAACCACACTGAGCGGCGTCAGTGGCAGCAGACATACTCAATGGAGAGTCCTATGACGTCAAACTGAGAGGAGATTAGGAGTCGCGTGACGTCACGACGTGGCAGTGTTTTATCAAAGAAGCAATCTGGTCACTGTATATTTACTAATACTATGCTTGTCCCAATCATTACGGAACACCAAGGCCATATCTATTCAATTACTATTTGAGGAGGGTGCGTCTGTCCGTTACCGAGGTCCCGACTTGGTCGTGCTTTGCGTGGACTACAGGCCAGACCGTTGCACCTAGCCCGGTGAAATTTGCACAACTTATAGATCAAGGATGCGCGACGTGCCTTTGAGGGGTCTCAGCTCGATCGGATTGATAGGGAGCGCGTGGCGCGTGCTCAAAAAGTGCAAATTCGCGTCATAGACTTTACATGTATAAATCGTCGTGCGAAATCGGGCGAAAACGGCTAATTTTGGCCGACACGGTTCCGGTCCCCGTGCAATATCTTGGTGACCAGGGGTCCGACCGGCACGGGGAAAACAGCATCGTGTACAGAATTGAACGGGCTATTGAATGGTGTGCAATGCAGAGGATAGCACGCGCCACGTGCACCGGAGAGGGCACTTTTATTTGAAAAATTGCGGTTTTTGAGGGATTTTGGAATTAATTTTATTTTTAGGTGACCGTTAAATGGAGCGAGTTGAATCAACGCCTATTTGCAAGAGAAAGGTACCGCCTCTCATATAAAAATTGTGAAAAGCTGATTGATCCAAATCAAGGTGGTGCAAATCACAGGAGAAAATGGTGTTTGTCAATTTTGTGCCACTTTATTAATCACACGGGGTTTGCTGCATAACCTGATACCTTTGGCAATTGAATATGGTACCATTGGATAGAGCATTCAATTCTGTCCAACATTCACTCTTCATTTTTGCATGATTAGCAACAGTATCCATAAAAATGTAAATGTTCCAAACCATTACATTGTCATTTTTACCGGAATTCATCGATGGCCCTCAAAAGACTTCACGTCAGTTTTCGAATCATTCTAAAGTAGAACGCATGACAATAGGTACGACACGGGCACCTCGATGCGATGTATCTTTTTTGTTTTATTACAAAATGCTTGGCCGTCAAAAGAAATCGAACGAAATGGATACCAACCAAATCGACACAGACCAACCCAATACCCACTGGTCAAAAATAACCCTTCTTCGCGTTGCGGAGCACGCGGGTAACCCTATCGAAACACTATTCCGCTGAGACTACATTTACACACAACATTCCGGGAACACCTTTTTACGTGTGGTTCCGCTTGCACCCGCACTGCTCATAGATAGTACCGCCACTTTGGAGGTCAGCATGCAGTAGGACCAGACCCACCTTGGAGGTCAGCATGTGGTAGGACCAGACCCACCTTGGAGGTCAGCATGTAGGGGAACCGGGCCTGGACGGCGCCGAAGCCGCCGCTGATACAGACGGGCGCCAGGCCGCGGCGCCGCAGCGCGCCGAACGCGGCCGCCAGTGTGTCGGAGGCGTCCTCCCAGCCGGAGGAGGTGTCGTCGTACAGCACCACGTGGCTGCGGCCGGCCAGCTCGGCGGCGTCCAGGTCCTGGGCGCCGCGCCAGCGGGCCAGCATCACGTGCTGCCGGTTGTAGTCCTGCTGACACCTGAGGAGGAGGAGCAGGAGGGAGGGCTCCTGCTGACATCTGAGGAGGAGAGAGGGCTCCTGCTGACACCTGAGGAGGAGGAGGAGGAGGGAGGGCTCCTGCTGACATCTGAGGTAAGGAAATCTAGCGTCTTACATGTGACATTTGACATTTAACATTTGAGGGATAACGTAAGAGTTAGATATGTCAATCGGATACCGACTTTTTGATATACCGATATCAAAAAAACCGATACCAACTGCATGGTGTGTCAAAAGTGGAAATAGCCGGTGCGCCGTCTGGCAACTCGGCAGCCCGCCGCCATAGGGAAATTCATGCTTTTTGTCGCTTTTTCGCTACTTATGAGTCACGATCTAATAAGAGCTTAACTAGGAATGAGGCGGATCACTTGGACGTATAGTTGGGAGCCGAATACGTTGTTTTGGAGCCAATACCTGGGAAACCCTATCCACCCAAGCCCCAATGCGAGTTTTTAGGAGTCTACATGCCCAAATTAACGTTGACCGCGGCCGTTCTCGGTCGGTTTTCCGCGACCTTTTGGCGAAATCGCCTTTTTTATTCAACCAGGATGGACTAATTAGCTTAGCTAGGAATAAGGCGTTGAAGATAATCATTCAAGAAATAGAGCTGTGCAAAAATATTTTTGTATTGTTACAACTGTATCCGCCCTCGAACGATAAATATTGTTGACGCATCAGAAACACATCCCGTGGAATGCGTTTGGACATGGCTGGATCTGATATTAGCGAGTATCTGCTAAGTGCTAATGCAGTTTCTTGGCTTGCACAGTATGCACGCAAACACACATGCTTCCTGCCCTTGGATTATTCCTCACTTGAATGAAAATTTTGCTTTAATAACTTTTCCGAGCAGTTGACAGGTTTTAGTGCAATGCAAAGTCGGAACCGTCCCGCGCCGGCAGTCTCCCAGGCGCCGCGAAACGGCCGCCGCCGGCCGCCACGCCGCAGCTCTGGCAAGGCGTTTGACTTTATACCCCTGTTGTTAGAAAAGTTGTGGACCGATTTACTTGATTCTTGCATGACAAGATCCGCCATTCAATTCTTAGCAGGTACCGAAGATTCGACGTCAATTGCACCATCCGTCGCCCATTTTGCGGTACTGCCATCTATTGACAAGGCTGGTGAACTAAAGCCATGCGGCTATTTCCACTTCTGACACACGATGTCATACAGGGTGTCCCAGAATTACCCGGACATTTATTTCCTGGCTAAAAGTACGATTGCGCTCGATTCTAATGATATAAAAGCATCATACATTTATAAGATATCCCTTAGCTATCGAGCTTGGGGACTGTGTGCTTTTGGTGACCGGTAACGACTCGAGTCAAGTATTATCCAGAGTCAAGTAAGAGTAGTCCTTTTCCGTTTTCAGCTTAACCCGCGCCCTGCTGGGGGGGGGCAGAATCTGCCCCCCTCCCGTTTTTCGCCAATAACTTCTAAACGCGTTACTCCAGCGACGTCAAACTTTCATTACCTTATCATACATCAATTGGACACGTTCCCTGAAAATTTGAGCGAAATCCGTCGGAATTTTTTTGAAAAATTGACGTTTTTGTGACGTCATGTTCGCCATTTTCGCCTCAAAAACGGCAAAACTTCAAACGCCGCTAACATCTTCATTTTTAAAGGAATCAAGACGTAACAAAAAGGTTATACGTGATTCTACTTTGTCTATCAAATGGCTATCTCGGTTTTTAAAAAATATTTGATTTTGGCCCAATTAAAAAAAAAACTGACTTTTTTTGTGAAAATTATTATAAAATCCAAAATTTTGAGTGTATCGAAAAACCAGAATATATGTCAGAGAAGTAGTCTATGTGCACCTATATACCAATTTTTAGAAGAATCGGTTCAAAAATGTGGGAGTTATTCAAAATTTTATGACGTCACGACACACAAAAATTTTGAAAAAAATGATTTTTTGGAAGTTCTAGACCTCTTACGGAAACAAAAATAGCACCATTCGATTCTCCGTGAAAAACTGCATCAGATAGACACCTTTTTTAGGCCTTAACCCGCGCCCTGCTGGGGGGGGGGGTGTTTGAACACCCCCCCTTGTGGTTTTTCGCGAATATCTCAAAAACGGCGGCGCTTCGCGCCGCCGTTTTTGGTACACCTTATTATACATCAATTCTACACATGTTGTAAAAATTTCAGACCAAGGTCATTCAAGGTCAGGTCACCAGGTCACTTGAAGTGACCTCACCACATAAAAAGTTTCAATGTCTGTCATAGCTACACCGAGTGACCGATCGCTTTGAAACTTCCAGCGATTGCTAGGAGCAATAGCATGTACAAAATGTATATCTCAGAATTTTGATATCGATGACCTAAGGTCAGGTCAATTTTGCGACCTCCCCATTATAAGTCAATGGGAGAAAATTGAAATGCGCCTCTTTTGGACGAAAGACATTATAAACACTCCCAAACACCGAATTACAAGTAGTTTAGACACACTGAACATGAAAATGGTGTCCGTGACCCTTGTTTGTGCCCTGAGGTCATCTTAGGTCACGAATGGTATCTAACAGTTTTTCGCAAATAGCTTTTGATAGAGGCATGCTAGAGCGATGAAAACGCCAAATATGTGTTCAGCTCGACGATACGGATCGACTGATATGCAACATGACCCTTTCCGGTCAGGTCATGACCTTGACCTGAGGTCAAATTTTCAAGTTGACCTTTCAAGGTCAAGTTATAGTTCATTCGATGCGTCTTGACGAGAGGAACACGATGCCGGTAAAAGTAAGCTCGTACAAGGCTGGGGTCAAAAGTTATTGCAGAAAAACGGTTTCCGAAAAAATCGGCTATTTTTGCAGTTTTTGGCCCCTGCAGGCAAAACCGTTGATGTTAGGTCAAATCTGAGAGAATTACTCAGAAAGGGCGTTAATAGGGCTATCGAATGCACTTTTCCGCGGCGCTGTAGCTCTATTGGTTCCCGAGTTATGCGTTGGCTTCTTGGAAATTTTCGACATTCGACCTGGAAATCGGCGAAATTTTGCCTTCAATGACCTCTGGTGACCTGACCTTTGACCTGACCAAAAAATTGACCGAAGTGATTTCGTCATTATTTTTTACGCTCTTTCGAACGCCGCCTTCCGCGTATCGCTACGTGACCCAGGAGCCGAGTTACAAGGGGGGGTGTTCAAACACCCCCCCCCCCAGCAGGGCGTGGAAATCCAGGACCCCCAGCCGGGCGCGGGTTAACAACCAACTTCAAAATTTGACCTCACTTGACCTGACCTTGACCTGACCTCGACCTGAAATTCATCCAGAGGTGGTCCACATCACTTATTAAGTGTGCCTATTGAATTCTATGAGTAAAATGACCCATAAAACATGTGTCGCACATGCCCTTTTCTATATTTTGTTTTTGGTGACCTGACCTGACCTGACCTGACTTTGACCTTGACCTTTGAATGACATTGTATGCAACGAATATTGTCTTGGTAGTCTAAGAACACGTTTTGGGCAATCAGCCTCAGTCCATTCTCCGGCAACTACGGTGCAAGGCCGATACTGTAGAAACTTACATTTTGTCCACTTGACCTGACCTTGACCTGACCTCTGACCTACTTAAGCAAAAAAATTTGGGCTCTTTAGATCCGCCTTGTTGAGAGCTTTCGATTGCCGTTTTCCCCGTCTTTCTACGACCATCGGTTCGGGGAATCGTCTACGACCATCGGTGGGGGGGGGGGGGGCAGAATCTGCCCCCCCCCCCAGCAGGGCGCGTATGGCTGAATAGCCCAGCGGGGCACGGGCTATCCTGGGACGCTCACGTCTCCGAACTCAGCCGTCGGCGTACAGGATTGTTGATCGGTTGATCTCTCCCATGCGCGCCACAGTCTCCCGGATGGCATCATTAGAACGCTCGTGACAGCACTCGTTATCTCACGCATCCAGTACTGCCTCTCAGTTTATAGCAACGGGTCCCAAAAAAATTTCGATCGTCTCCAAAAAAATTTGAACTTTGCTGCTAGTCATATTCGGTCGCCGTAAATTCGACCATGTCTCTGACCTCCGAAAAAAGCTCGGGTGGTTGTCCCCGCGTCATATGTCTGATTACCAAACCCTTGTTATCGCCCACAAAGCCATACAGCGGGGCGAACCCGAGGAATTGGCAGCCATGTTCGTCACAAACAGCGCTGTCCGGGAGAGACATTCTAGGCAAGACCACCTCTTTCATCTTCCGCGACCGCGGCTGGAAACGGGTAGACGGCGGTTCGGCTATCGAGCCGCAGCTCTGCTCAACAGTCTTCCAACTCAGCTGTCGCAGCTGCCTCCTGCCCGGTTTGCCCGCTCTGTTAAAACCGCGATAGTGGAAGGGGTACCTTCTAGTGGTGTCAATCGGAACTTGAATCTTCGGAATTCCGATTTTGTCCAATGTCCAATTCGGAATTCGGTTGGACAATGACAGCAGACTTTGGACAACTTTGGACAATCGCTTGCTACACCTCAACATTTTTATAAAGTAATCGTGTCTAACATTGATTGGCTATTAGAAAGCTCAGCTTTCGATATGATTACCACTTTTGAGCTGGTAACGATACATTAAAAGCAAATTAATTAACGGTATTGAGTGTAAACTATTGTGTAGATGTCGGACATCTTTGGACAAATGGCTGGCTTGGACATTTTTGGACGGACAGTCGACGTAAGTGTTACGCGGCGTTTCCGATTAATGTATTGATATTTCGATGTGATGATGCGATGTTGAGGTGTCGATGCCGATTTTGATTGGCATGTCGTGGTTTCCTTCCTGTTTCCTTTGGTTCTGGTCGTAATGCTCTCAACTAGTCTTCCTGTTTTCTTTGTTCAACATCATCGCCGCCGCGTAACGCCTCTCACGCTCGCCCGTCAGTTTGTCGGCAGATCATTAAGCAGTTTAGATTCCCAAAGCCCAAAATGCATAAAAGCAACAAGCTGTCGTGACTGACTAATTTTGTTAAAGTCTGAATTGTGTCAATTTGCACTCTCATA